CAAATACAGGCACACATAAGCTACTTCCTGGTGACTGGTTCATGGTCAAGAAGTTCCTCAGAAAACATACCCTTGAGCCCAGGTTTGATTCCAAGTGCTATTGACTACGTCTACCTCTGTAAAGTTGGCTGGGAAGAGTACCTGGATACACGCCTCGCACTGTAAGAAAGTTCCTGATCTAGAGGAAGCAGATTCCGCCAAACCATGAGCTTCCTGTGCCTATTTTTGCTGCTAGGCCTATTAAAGGCCCAACAAGTTGCTATTACCAAAGACAATCATGTTTATACATTCTGGTATAACTCTTCAAACACACATGTAGCTACTTTTACCTTTGATTACTGTGATATTGTTCCTTGTACCTTTCCGCAATCACAACACTCAGCAATATACAAAGACTTACCGAACAAGAAGGACCCCTACATTTGTGTGACAGGTGGCCATTGGGGACACCACTGTGGTACCTAGAAAGCAGCGTGTTGGAACACTGGCCGACCGTGGGGCTACAGACCACAAAGTGCCTTAGATAGGATTGACAGATATGGGAAACCCTTGTTACACAGAATGACCTTATGTAAGCCAACAGGGTCTACCCCAATGAAACTCACCTTAAACATAGAACATCCCAGCCCAGGGGACGCTGGGGAGTACGTAATGGGAATGTATTGGAAAGGGGGTGGCTCATAAAACAAGTTGGGGACCTTCTATTTACAAGACATGCTTGCGTCACCTGATTGGGTAGACTCTACGCACATGACAATTAACCCCTAAAACCACACATTAAAACCCTTAAAGACATGGTAGCCATTGCTAATCCCACGTTTGAAGACACTATGGCTGTGGAGACTGGGTTTTCAGATACTAATCTATGGCTTGAGATATAATGCTAATTCACACAATAAAACTAACTGTTATGTTTGTGGAGGGGCCAGACCCTATCTGGGTACAGTGTCCTTCAGTCTACCTTCAGATGTTGAAATGTGTTTCCTAAGTCTCTATGCGCAGTCACCAACAAACTCATCTGTGTGTGAATCATGGAAAAAGGTATACCCAATAACCAAAGGGAATATCAAGCCACCTGATGGGATCACCGTGTACACAGGTAACTACACTTGCTACAAAATACATGGAGCCACAGGAAAATTTGTAAGTAAATTCCCTTCTGGCTACTGTACTACCTATCGAGAACCTCCCATTGCCCTATTAGTAAATCATGTTAAGTCCGTGGGAGACATTTATTGGCTATCTGGTGACATGCAGCTCAGATCTAAAATGACTGGCCTGTGGTGGGGAGAATGCACTCTGACCAAAGCTATCATACCCATACGTATAATTTCTGATAACCACCAAGGCCCACTTGATTCACCACACACATATTTTAGGGTAAAAAGAGAAACCCCTGTTCGAGGTAGTTTCGACCCACATATATATATATCGATGCCATAGGTGTACCAAACCAGTTCAAGGCCAGAGATGAGGTTGCGTCAGGATTCGAATCCTTGATCCAACTCATCACCGCTAACAAGAATGTTAATTGGATCAATTATATTTACTATAATCAGCAACGCTTTGTCAATTACACGAGAGATGCCCTCCAGGGCTTGGCAGAACAGTTACAGACTACCTCCCAATTGACATTTCAGAATCGAATGGCCTTAGACATGATACTAGCAGAGAAGGGGGGCGTGTGTAAAATACTTCCCGATACTATGACATGCTGTACCTTCATCCCAGACAATACAGGCCCCTATGGTAAAGTAACTATGGCCACAGAGAAATTAGAAAGTCTCTCTGATGAATTAAGAAAGAACTCAGGAGTCCCCAATTCATGGGACAGATGGTTTGGTTGGATGAGTGGATGGCAGAAAACCCTCCTTCAAGTAGGTATGGCAGTTCTTACTGTAGTAATTCTCTTTCTCTTCCTGACTTGCTGTGTGATTCCCTGTGTGCAGAAATACTTACAGAAGACTGTAGGTCAGACCATTGACCACACCACACCAACATTCCTACATCATGATAAAGATAACATGGACTGTGATACCCCACACACACCTCTTCAGTCCCACCACCTCAAGAAGACAGCTACTTCCTTACAGGGACAGCAATCCTTTTTCCGTTTCACCAAACCTGTCTGAGTGATTCTTGGATATGTTGGATATGTTATACACTCAGATCGGGCTATTGAGGAATGTACTTTTTGTGGGGTTCCTATGTACGGTGGGGGTACTTTTGGGGTACAGTATATTTTGTTGGATTTTCTGTACCTGAGAGATAATTAAATTAGAGGATTTTTCTCACGCAATTATCTCTCAAGTAGAGAGGATCTTGGGATTGAAACCTTGTATTATTGTGTGGAAACCCCCTTGTATGGGACTGGGCATAAAAGCCCAGTGTTGTACTTCCAGAACTGTGTGTTGTCTAGTTGCTGGGGAGGATGTGGGATATTTCTTTGACGTTTTATTGTTCCTGATTGTATTTTGGTGGATCCAGCGGAGAAGAGTCCCTGTTAGGACTAGGGCTCTGCTGCAGGAATCAACACAGTAAAGGAGGAGACTATATTTAAAAGAAGAAAAACTACCACAACAAGAGGACATAGTCTTAAATTAAAGAGGCAAATGTTTAAAAATAATATCAGGAAGTATTACTTTAGCGAGAGGATAGTGGATGCATGGAATAGCCTTCCAGCTGAAGTGATAGAGGTTAACACAGTGAAGGAGTTTAAAGGACAACTATAGGCACCCAGACCACTTCAGCTCAATGAAGTGGTCTGGGTGCCAGGTCCCCCTAGTTTTAACCCTGCAGCTGAAAACTAAGCAGTTTCAGAGAAACTGCTATGTTTATACTGCAGGGTTAATCCAGCCTCTAGTGACTGTCTCTGTGACAGCCACTTGAGACCGCTTCCGCGATTTACACTGAGTAAATCGCACTTATCTGACGCTGGACGTACTCACAAAGTCCAGCATCAAATAAGATTCGCAAAGGAAAGCATTGAGTAATGCTTGACATGTGCATCATCGTCCTTTTGGCCTATTCCTGTTATAAACCAATTAAAGACCTTCAAGAATTACAGACACATGAATTTTTGGCAAAATATTCCATGGCTTTATTAAATATATAAATAATAAAATATAAATTTAAAAGGTCATTGTCAACAACGATTAGGAAGACATCCCCCCAATTAACATAACTATACACCAAGACAATGACCTAAACCATTTTACAGAATACATCCATATAACCATATAACATAGTATAAATAACATAAACATTAACATAGCCACCCAGGGCATCCATTTCCAATTGTAGGGGCATACCAAGACACCCGTACGCCATTATCACAGCCACCAAGGGCATCCCTTTCCACTGTAGGGGCATACCAAGACACCCCTACACCATTATCCCAGCCACCAAGGGCATCCATTTCCAGTGTAGGGGCATACCGAGACACCCCTACACCCCCAGGTTCGGAGCTACCGACGAGCTCGAACCTACCACCAAATCCAAAGGTAAGTATTCCTCCTGACCTATCCCACTTACCAAAAACCGACCTACCCCCCAATTAACCTAATCCATCCCCCGCCACAGCACAGAGCTTGACCACCTCAAGCCACCTGGGCGCCCCCACCCGAATAAACAAAGCCTGTCTCAAGCCGTCCTGGAAGCCCAAGTTGAGAAAATCTAGACCTACTCCGGAAAGATGCACGCCATCACGCCTGAAATATCCCGGCAACATATCCTCCAGCTCCCTATGTCTGATTACTACCCCACCAGACCTTTTGATAAAAATCGCCACCAACTTATTAAACTTGCGTCTACATCTCGCCATAGCTGAAAAATCCCGCGCATGACGCCAATGGAAACGCGGTATAGTTTCCGACCATACAATAACCACCCCGGGAAGTAAGGACCTCAACTTATCCACGTCCCTCTTTATACAACGTACTAATTCCCTTTGTGGTACCAGACCAAAATCATTCCCCCCAGCGTGTAACAATATGAATTCGGGAACCTCCCCCTGACCAATCTTCCGAAATAATTCTAAACATATGTCTCTCCAACCAAAACCCCGGAAACCAAACCATAACAATCGTAAAACATCCGTCGGAAAGCCCAGCTGCGTGCCTTGTCTCCGAACTGCAGCTCTCCGTTCCGCCCAGTAGACATAGGAATGGCCTACTATCCATGCGACTCCACCTGAAAATGAAAGAAATAACTTATAACCACCGGGCCATCGTATCGTGTACCCCATAACATCAAACCTGAATTACACTAACCGATCAGGCCGGACATAAGAGCGGAACCTGAGCGATTCCCATCTCCCAATCTTTTTAACTAAATCGTCACCTAGACCCAACCTCGCCGCCTCCGTGGCAGCCCCAATCCTAAACGAGTGGGTGCCAAACTGCGTGGGATCCAGACCCAGGCGTTCCAAACTCAGCTTAAAGACCCTGGTAAACTGAAACTTAGACATCGCCGAACCGTCTGCATGCCGAAAAAACGAACCCTGACCCTTTGGACGGATCTCCATATATCGGCGAGCACTGCTCACCGGGCAAGCCGCAACCTGAGGTAGTGAAAATAATTTAACTGTACAACCTTTCCCAAAGACATCTGTCTTCGAGCGCTGTAATCGAATGGCTACCTGCTCTACCCCCAATTCCACGTCCGCGAACTGAAGACCACCTTGCCTAACTCTGCTGCCACTTACAATTTCACTCACCCGAAAAGCCCCGAAAAAGGCCCATACAAAAGCAACCGTAAATAACAAAATCTCGAACGAGGAGAAACATAAACCTGGCAGGACTCCCAACAGTTGTTGAAGCAAGGCAAAAGACACCGGTCTCCTAGTGTCAGGTTCCAACTTACCCTTACGATAACCCTTCACTGCCTGCCGTACTACAAAGGACTTCGTCGAATCCTCCCACCCATTGAGCTTGAAGAGGAACGCCAACGCTGCAAGGTTCCGGCCGACCACCGCCGGAGAAGCCCCTGCCGCGAATAAGCGGCAAAGCAACCATAATAGCGTATCGAGACGTACCTCTGCGGAAACCTGATCCCCCGTACAGCCCAAAGCTTCGTCCCAACTTTTCCATACTTTACTATACGCCGCCCACGTGCCCGGAGCCAACGAATCCCTGATCAGTCCTCCAAGCAAGAGGTCCCGAGCCGCCACATGTGATCCGGACATGACAGACCCTCCATTTGTGCGTTCGGAGCCTCCAACCGAAATTTTTCCCACTGAAAGCGAGAAAGCGAATTAGCAATTATGTTCAAGAATCCCAGGAACATGACGTGCACGAAAAACAATATTCAACTGCATGTAATACAAAACAAACCGACAAAGGAGTCGAACCACTGGGACCGATGAAGCCGAAAGATTATTCACCGCCTCCACTACGGCCATATTGTCCGTAAAGAAGATCAGTCTCCTATCGCGAAAGACTTGGCCCCACAATGAGAGCGCTACTACTAATGGGAATAACTCGAGAAAGGCCAAGTTCCGAATAAGTGGGCTGGCTGCCCAATGTTCGGGCCACTTCTCCTTCAGGAAGGTCTCCCATACCCCCAAATCCTCCCTCATCGGGGCTGTGACCATGATAAAGTGATGAGGGGACCGTACTCCCACAGTGGCCTTAGCTAGGAACCGGTTGAATATCCTTCCCACCGAAATAATGCGACATGCAAAATTCAACCGCCCCAATAACCGCCTTTTTTGCCCTGCGCAACTCCGAAATGGCACCACGGAGGGACTCCAGCTTATCCAGTGGTAACCTGCATTCCCCGGCGACCGTATCTATTTCAAGGCCCAGAAAGCTAAGGCATGTAATAGGCCCTACGGTCTTGTCGCGAGCCAGAGGTACCCCAAAAACATGAGTCACCCATTCGAGACACCTTGACCCGAAAGCAACAAGCGTCAGACCCGGCCGGCCCGACACACAAGAAATCGTCCAGATAATGGACCACAAACTTGGTGCCCGCTTCCACCCTCACCACCCATTCCAGGAAGGTACTAAATTTTTCAAAGTAAGCACATGAAATGGAACATCCCATGGGCAAACAAAGAGCTACAAAATAATTTCCATCAATATAACAGCCTAATAAATGGTGACATTTCGGGTGGATGGGTAGAAGGCGAAAAGCCGCTTCTATATCCGCCTTTGCCAACAACGCTCCCCGTCCTGCTTCTTTTACCAGCTCGACCGCTTGGTCAAATGATGCATACGAAACAGAACAAAGAGCCCCGTCAATGTCATCATTGACTGATGACCCTTTCGAGTACGACAAGTGGTGGATAAGGCGAAATTTCCCCGTCTCCTTCTTGGGCACCACACCTAAAGGAGAACCCTAAGATCTGGCAGAGGCGGCTCCCCATACGGCACCGCCATCCGCCCCAGGCGAACCTCATGAAGCAATTTCTCCCATACTACGTCATGGTGTTTGCCCACAGAGCGCAGGTTACGGAAACGAGGAACCACCACCCGTTTCCGGAATGGTATGATAAAACCCTTTGTGAACCCTTCTAGCAATAATCGGGCAACCTCCCGATTACCGTACCTGCTTAGCCATGGGAGCATCGCGTCTACCTTCACTGGCGAGCACCCCAGAGGAAGCGGATGGTGCTGACGCACCATCGGCACTTCCTGTTGCCGCGGGCTTACCCCGCTTAAAACACCAGTTGTAACCATACCTCCCACCGCATCCGGAGCATTCATGCCTAAAATGGCATGCGGAGCCCCACTTACATTGGCCTTCATTAAAGAGCCAGCAGAATCCCTTCCTTTGAGCAGCCGACGAGGTGGAAGAGGGACCGTCGCCGCCCCCCCCGAAAGGGAGCTGCCTTCTGCGCCATCATCAGCTTCATCCATAATGGCAGGTCCATTTGATCCCACCGCATTCCCGGATTAGCCGATAACCTCTGACGGAACTGTTCATCATACCGCCACCAGGCCAGTCCCCCATAAGTGCGATATGACTCCCACACACCGTCCAGGTAACAGAATAGCTGAGAGCATTTCTCAGGCGCCTTCTCACCCAGGACACTCGCCAGGATGCAAAAGGCTCGCAGCCAATTCCCGAATGTTTTAGGGATTTTTCTATACCGCCGCCGTTTTTCTTCCTCTTCCTTCTTGGAATCCTTTTTATCCTCCTCCTTCAAGTCTAAGTATTCCTCTAGTGGGAGAAGGGAGAAGATCTCCACAAATTCCCCTTTCCACAGTTTTTCCTTAACCTCCAATTTGAGATGACACCCTAGCGGACCCGCAAATGACACATGCACATTCTGCCGTGCTGCATCCGGGATATCACCCAATAGCAGGTCCCTCTCAGCTACTACTTCTGTGGCTACCGACGCCGATGACGCTGCCATAACCTGCCCTGTACTGCTCCCTGCCCGTCCTGTGATTAGTTTCTCCCCCGTCCCCAGACCCGATGACCCTGGCAACCAAACCTTGCTAAAGAAAAACCCCTCTATCTGAACCTGAACTCCACGATGTAAGAAACGATTTTAAGCCCTCTTACAAGTCTCCCAAGTGTGGTGTACTGTGGGACTCACCAGCCAAACCCCGTGGTGCCGCCGATCCTGGGGCTGCTACCTGAACTCCGCTGTGTGAGGGTCCTGGCGAAGCTGTTTTGAAATCCCCGCCGCCCTGAGGCCTCCTTCGGCCCGCCGTCCCGACATCCAATGACCTGTGAACAGAAGAAGCAAACCTGGGGAGGCTGTCATCAGAACACCGATCCCCCCTGACCTCACCTGGTGATTCTCTATGCGGCCTGCGACTCCCGGCATCCTGACCCTTGCGGCCGTAACTATCACCCAAAAATCTTCTGCACCGCCTGTCGGGGGAGCCCCCGCTAACTGACCTGGAGGCACTCCCCTGTGAGGATGATCCACAGCAGCGCCCAGCCACAGACCGCTTCTACTGCGCTGCCTGCTCCGCCGATTACTCGTGGAGCGATGGCTAGAAGCCCTCCTGTCCCCCACGCTGGCTCTACTCCGCCTTGGGGACCTGGCTTCCCTATCCTGAGTGCGGCTGTCCCTGCTCACCCGCTGGTCTGTTGGCTTACAGCGCCCAGTACCCGTGCCAATCCGGGAAGGGGCCATGCTGCTCCCTGCTGTGACCCCGCCACCTGTCACCAGCGCCCTGTGCACCTCACTCTGGCCTGTCACCTATGGCTGCTGCGCTTTGGAAGGGGGTGCCTGCGGCCTAACCCACCCATGCCGTATCTTGCTGAGTGCTCGGGACGCCTCACCACCTAACCTGTAATCAATTGCAGGTGCTATGACTTCCCTGTTGCCCAAGCCCTTACTGGCTGCCCCATCCTCAGCGGAACCTGACTGGGTCGAGGGGGCCTCGCTCACCAACCCCTGCTTTCTTCCCCTTTTTGCCTTAACAGCCCCAGGGGGTGACTCACCGGGTGTGCTCCACCCAGATGGCTGATCCCTGCTCCCAGCAGCGCCCGCTGCAGTTGAGGGGCCTACTGCAGCCGGTGAACTGGAACTCCTGCCGGCCCCCGGGCGGCGCGGCGCCATACTGTCCAGGACGTCAGCCAGAGGCTGAGGTGTGCGGCCGCCCCCGAGCCGCGACCTCCGCGGGTCCGTGCTGGCCCCTGGCATGCCCGCTGACGGGCTTCGACCCCGCACCACGCCGGTGTTCTATCAGTCTGGTATACTCCGTCAGATTGCTATACCCACGTCACTTCCGGGGAGGGGAATCAGCTGTCTCCTGTGCTGCACATGCGTGCTAGCACTCCTGCTACTCCTCCACAGCAAGGTCCTGGAAGGTAAGTAAAACTAGTTTTACACTTTCATTATAGTTAGTACATTCACTAAGCTTAGGCACACGGGACATTTAGGGTTAAGTGAGGGTACAAATTAGGGTTAGGTAAGTGCTTCTAACCTCTCTCACACTCTATTCTTACCCTAACCCTTGGGGTAAGGGTTAAAATAAAGTGTGAGAAATCACTATTTAGTGATATTCCCCTAATGTGAAATATCACTAAATAGGAACAAGTCCCTAATCCTAACCCTAATTTGAACCCTAACATTAACCCTAAATGTCCCATGTCCTAAGCTTAGTGAATGCACTAACTATAATGAAAGTGTAAAACTAGTTTTACTTACCTTCCAGGACCTTGCTGTGGAGGAGTAGCAGGAGTGCTAGCACGCATGTGCAGCACAGGAGACAGCTGATTCCCCTCCCCGGAAGTGACGTGGGTATAGCAATCTGACGGGGTATACCAAACTGATAGAACACCGGCACCAGACTCTGGGCTTAGATGTTGCGGCGGCCTAGTCCGCTGGGATGTCCTGCACGCCGGCGCCACAGACGGTCCCGCCATATTCAGTGCTGCTCCCAGCCGCTGCTCCATCCATGCCACTCCATGCTGACGAACCGCTGCCCTGACACCTTCCAAGATCGCTGCCATATCCCTCTCAGCTGCCAAGGAATCCATCTGAAAGAAATAAGAAGAAAAAAACCCCCACCAGGAAGACAGCAACAGCTACCAACAGGTAAGGGATTTAAAATTAAAATGGAACCTGAATTAAAATGGCCGATTTTTATATGGGAAACTTAGGCCACTCCCCTAACTGACCTCCACCAATCAAACCACACCTCATTCATAGGCCTGCCTCCTAGCTCTGTCAAGGCCCATTCCACCTAGCTTGCTGTTCCATGGGCTTCATTCCTATGGGCGGATTTGAATGCGGGCGCGCCTCTGGCCGCACATGTGCATTTGGCTCCACTCGGGAGCTGACGTCTGTGTGGGATGAGAGGTCACCAGTGCCAAGGGAGCCCAGTGCTGGATTAAGGTAAGTGGCTGAAGGGGTTTTAACCCCTTCAGCACAGAGTAAGGGGGCCCTGAGGGGCTCTCCAAGAGCCTATAGTGCCAGGAAAACGGGTTTGTTTTCCTGGCACTATAGGATCCCTTTAAGCATGAGTGGGATAGGTATAAGACTATCCAACTATAAGATAAGGCCAGGGACTAATGAAAGTATTTAGAAAATTGGGCAGACTAGATGGTTCTTATCTGCTGTCACATTCTATGTTTCTATAACAGGAAGTAATCGCATGGTAATGTGGCGGCCAATTAATCTGTGAATTTCTTGAAATTATCCACTTGCTGAACAGTTTTGAAAATAAAATTCCCCTCTTTTTACTTATTCCTTTGTGAAATTACCCATGATGAATCTCCCAACATTCAGTTATTGTCACGGGTGGTGGTACGGAGACCCCTAAGTGTCTGATGATGATGATGGGAGTCTCAGCGTGGAAAGGACT